CTCGCCTCGTGCCTTCTCTCCTCTTCCGCCTTCTCAACACATTCGTTCTTAAGGACCTTAGTCATTCCAACGTCTCTATCTCTTTTCCTCTGCCTTCGCTTATAATTAAACTGTCCCCGTAACTCGGAACCATTTATTACATTTCCATTTTCATCTTGCGAAATCATATTTTCATTAAAATAAACTTGATGAACCGCTGCAGAAATATTGCGAAAGCTTCATTAAAAAAAAAATATATAGAAACAGTCATAAATATTCCAATATTAAGCCAACATTGCATACTATATTAAAAATAGTATTACAAATTTAGATCAGTAAACATTTATATATGTATTTGTTTTATTTAGTAAATGTAAATTAAGAAATTTGATAACTTTTATTATCAAATACAAATTGTTGATATTTGTGAGATCAATATAAAGAAAACGAAGATACTTCAATTACAGATATACTTTCAAAAGTTCAGCGGGTTTCGAAAAGAAGGAGATTACGTAATAGGATAATTTCAAAGCTGCCCAAGTGTTGTATATTCACGCGAAATACGTTTGATGTTTACTGGTAACGTTCTGGCGACAGAGAGCGAGTGCTCACTTGGGAATGAGCGAGTAAGAGAGAGAAAGAGGAAGGGAATGGAAAGAGAAACAGTAACTTTACAAAGTTGAACCAAGAGATGGTATCAGTACATTCTAACACTCGAACCGACTTGGAGATTGTTTACTTGGCGATTAGGGTTCTAAATGAAAAACTTTCTTGCAAATACGTTTCGAAATCAAATAAATTATCTACATAGTTCAGTGTAGTAATTATCAAAAGGAGATAATTATGGACTTGTTAAACATTAAAAACTAATAACTAACATTGAGTTAATTCGTGGAGATTTTTTTTGCAGAAACTAATAGGTATTAATTGCTCGAATACAATCGAATAAGATTGATTGGCTGTACTGTAATTAATCAACATATAGTTTGGGAATTACCATTGATAAATTGGTTTTTCCAATCTTAAATCGTGGGGATGTTTGTTGTTCAAGTGCAACCTTACAAAGTGCTTTTCGTCGAGGAAGGACAATTTATTCAGGAGGAGGATCCATCAGCAGTTGTTTCGTTTATATCCTAATGATGTGTTCCACAGTATCGGACGGACACTAATGACTTCGTTGCTTCCCGACGGCAATAAAACAGTTAATGCATGTGTACGAACATGTCGTTCGCCATATAAACCGTTGGCGCTAACGAGCGTTTCACCGAAAAAATATCCTATGCTGCTGCAGCAATTCCTGCTATTCCTGATGCTGCTGATATTCATATGCATCTATGTGTATGCAATACATGAAAGCAGGTGTACATCGCCGTGTGAATCACTGTAATTACAAACTTATAACGAACTACGAACATTGCTCAAATTTTTTTTTTGCTAATTACAAGCTGGATATTACAATTTGTAAGCGTAAAATTTACACCATTTTGATGGCAACTTTTCAACTAAAATTAATCTAACATTCACAAATATTTGAAAAACAAGTTATCTAACAAGTTAACAACGTTCTTTTATGGGAAATAGCCGCATCCCAAAGCTCTTATACGCGTTATTAAATGCGTTCGCAGCGTAACAAAAGTATATACCTCGATTTACGATCAATATAATTTATGAATGGATTTGATGTTACGGAATTTTACACCCGAACTTACTTCCGTTTTTAACGTAATAACTAATGGCTCATAACCAGTTTACTATCTGCATTCGCCTCTTTAAAAAAACGCCAAACGGCATAAAAGTATTATGGTTAGAGCACAGCTCATCACATTTAGGCAATAGGATCATCATTTCACGCTGTACATATTTTCTTCGTGTTTTCATATATAACAAAATTGTTATTTTTAATACTTTTTAGCTGTGACTTTAACATTTTAACTTGTTAATTATAGTGGATTAGTTTCCTAAATATTTGGTTTCTGGTAATAAATATCAAATATTATGTTTTGATTTATGTGAAATTTGTCAACTTAACAAAGACATTTTGAAATTTGATTACAATCACACCCTTTGTGTTTATCACTTTGACTATATTAGGTCTCTATAATTAATTCTAGTTGTAACTGACAGCTGCAATTGTATATAGGAATTAGTACACCTGTCAGATATTTATGTATTATGTCAAGCATAGTGCGGGTACAGTATTACAATAATCCACATAATTTATGTTTCTGTTAAAGAACTGACGATAAACACTTTAGATTTTGGATACATTTAAATAAAAGTGCAATTATAGCGTATAATTTCCGACACATTCAGCATGCAATCTTGGTTAATGGGGAATTCGCGCGGAAAGTCGGAGAGGCGCAACGAAAACAATTCGGGGATATTTAATGTCCTTAATCTTTTAATTCCATCGGCAGCGGCGAAGATACCAAAAGCAGTCGATTACATTGATTGTCCCCCCACATAATCTAAACTGCGTGGGCTTCTGTTTTTTTCTTGTATTATTTTGCTCTCCTCTCCTCGTTTTTGTTTTCTGGATGGAGCACCTCTTCTCTCTTCTCTTTTACCACCAAAAAGTGCTTTGCTACGAAAATGAACGGCGGTTTAAAGCCGCCCTTAAGTGACAGATTAAAAGACGAAGAAAAGAAACCGGAACAGACGACCGAAGAGTAAAAGTAAGAAGAATTGGAGGGAATGCCTCTTATCCAAAACAACACACATTGTCTTCTTATCTTAATGCGTACACAATTCGTTTGAATTGCTATGGTCGACCATACTTCACGCCCACGTGTCTATCGACTTACGCTAATGCCTCCTTATTTCTTCCGCTCCGCTACTTCCGCTCCTCAATGCTGCGTTACAAAAGAAATGTAAATGTCGTTGACTTTTTCTAACGACTTAATCTTGATTCATATTCCACTTTACATTGAGAATTATTGCTCGGTATTATGCAAACAGAATAACATTCCAGTCGAATTCAGATTATTTGTGAATTCATCTTGGTCAATAATAAATTATATTTTTTCGTGAATCGAACAGAAACATATAGATAATATATATACATTTAGATAATATAAATAAATTATCACATTTTTTGAACAGTTTTGTATTGTTTTGTAATCGACGTTACGTTATAACATTAAGGGAATTTAAGATCCAATTTGGATAAATCAAAGTTTTAAAAAAGTTATGGCACTAAAAGTAAATGGTTTAGAAATTTAAAGTTTCATTATAATTAATCTATTTTTTTTTCCTTAAATATATTTGAAACATTATCATCTTTTTTATCATGAAAGTTTTCCAATTTAATACTGATCTGATTTAATATATAATATCAATATTTAATTTTTCAGATCATTTATAAAATGCCAATGTCTCAAGTAATAATTTATACCAACATTTAACAATTATGTAATATGAATATTATTTTGTTCCAACTTCTATTTTTATTGTTATGGTTCATTTAAGACAATTATCTTTTTCACTAAAATCGTTCCCATATTGTGGCCTTTTTTTGTAGTTGGCGGATGAAGCTAAACCCTAAATTTTTTGTGTTGATTTATAAATTCAAATGGCTTAAAGAAAAAACTGAATCTAAGTAATCACTTATAGAATTCTTTCTCCCTATTTTTTTTTGTGCTTGGTATTCAATATAGCAATTATTCGGTTCTAATGAATAGTCCGATAATTTCGGAAGAGGGAGCCGTTCCGGAATCACCGAAGAACGTGGGAGGATTGAAGGGTCCTAGCAAAAGGGATGGCCTCTATTCAATTCGTGGCACGCACGGAACCCTTTATTTTTTTCCTCCGTCCGCGTTCGATTTAGCAATCCATTCCGTTTTTATCGCACAATTTGAGTGTCCAATATCTATCTCTACTTCTGCCCATCTCTTCCTCCTTATTCTTCTCCATCTACTATTTCTCTTTCTCTCTTTTCTTCTGTTCATCCTTAAAATTCTCCCACTTTTTTTTATTATTGGCACCGTTTCTTATCTCCTTGATTACATCGACTCTGCGCTCCATCCACAAAGGAATACAGATTACGCATTCCGCTCTCTCCTTTTGTGCCGAATGTTTCATCTCTCGCAATAATAATGTTCGATTCATCGAAGTCGCACTTTCGATGATCATCATCATCCATGATTATTATTTTTTTTTTATTATTACTCTACATTCGATTCTTTCTTTTTCTCACCGTCAGTTGGCAAATGAAAGAGGGAATAACCAACAAAGGATGTGTCATTTCTGATTCCAAACGGAAATCCTATTCGGTTTTTCGGCCAAAGAAAGAAATTCTCTTGTTATTTCTCAGCTTCTTAAATATTTGATTGCGTTTCGGTACGTGCCACCAATTAAACTTATGTTCGTAATGCACTACTTTTACAATTAAGGGAAGTAAGTTTCCCATCACAAACTTCTATTATTGTGGGTTATATAAGTTTATAATTGCAATGAGCAGTATATACAGGGTGGTCCATTTAAAGATACCAACTAAAACATCTGCAGCATTTAGAATTTAGTAATATAACCAATACGAAAATGAAGATATACCAATTATAGATTAAGAAAATCATAGGTTTAAAAAAAACTATGCAATTTGTTTAAAAATTACTTAATGAATAATCGTTTAAATCTTGAATTCCTTGTGAATTGGTTGATCCGGTTGTTTATTCCGAGGTTCCCGGATTTGTGCACACCTCATCACCTTTCGCACAAAGGCAGAAGCCAGGACGGAACATTATGTTTACGTAATAATATTAATAAACTACATGGCGGTTTCTCTAATTACTTACACCATGAGCTACTTCAAAGCACGTTGCATTTGCCGACTCCACCTAATTCACTTTATTACCTCTTCCCAACTGAGCTGTATTAAGCATTAAATAGTAACACTCAACTCATGTGCAGTGTTGTATAGGCTTTCGAGTATATCTGCTTAGTATGAGCATCATCATCGATAGCAATAGTATTAACAATGCTACTTTAATACCCAATTAAAAAAAAGAACAACTTAAACTCACCGTTCAACTGTTTAGTTCCGTTATACCAGTAAACTTTCGGTGTCGGTCGTCCTGCGTTCGCCTCGCAAATTAATTCAATTTGTGTGCCTTCGTCGTGGGGTCCCAGCATTGAAGTGTTTGCCATCGTGACGCCATCCACTCCAAGTATTCGAACAGATTCGGGCACAACTGCAAATAAAATGTAAATTATTAATCACTTCACATAAAATCAATATGTGCTGCAGCATCAGAACTACTTGCATAAAACAAAAGGTCAATGGCAATAATAATTAATTATAATTAATTTAGAAAATTTTACTAATCTCATTATTTCTCTTATTTTATTAATTCATTTAATAAGTAGGATCAATGAAATAATATAAATATATTACTTAATATTTAAAAAAAAATCACTCAAATGGATTTATATTTCGATTTGCGTCATTTGAATGCATTTTTATAATTGAATACTTGTTAAATTGTTAATGTAGATTTTATAATTGATTAAAAACTAAAGAAATCACTTGTAAATCACTCAACAAATTTTGCTTTTGTTAATATTATGAAACAATGTCAAACCCTCCTCTCATCGTTACTATTGTGTTTTGTGTCGGTTTAGTATCGATGTCGAGCTTGGGGGTGAGATCTGATCCTGCATGTTTTCCCTCTTTTCAATCTTCCTTGTGTTTTAAAGAGCTAACGAATATTATCAACCCTTCGCGCGAAAACATCCTCCGTCCGGGATTTCATATCGTGCGGCAAAAGGTGTGTAATATGTACTGTTTCTAATTGTTTCACGGCCTCTGGTGGGTTTTAATTAATTAATTTTTGTTTAATCTGACCGTAAACATAAGAGAATTTTGAATGAGATTATTTCCACGGAAGTAGACGGAATTGGATTAAATTTCGTCGGTACGCGCGATTTTAACTATCTTGCAATTATAAATACATCCTCTCCGCTGTCTTCCTTGCACATCTTTGGGTATATCAAACATCCAAAGACGATTCAACTTTGAATCAACTCTGCTTGCATTTAATTAACGTGTTTGTTATAAGATGCTTTTGTTTTGTTTATGTTTCCAAGTAAATTAATACAAGAAGATTATGACAGCTCACTGAAATGTATTATTTTATAATATTTTTTGTTGACTTTGGAAAATGTTTAATTTAATAACTCATTGAAATGCATTATGTAAATGAGCAAAGTTTTCTTAATAAAATTAAATGTAGGATGTAAACGAATTTACTTGTGTTATAACAAAAAATAAAAATTTATTGATTAAATTTTGCATTATTTGCGAAGGGTGTGAGAGCGATACTTCTCAGTATTCGGTAAACGTTTTCATATTCCTTCAGAGCTGCAGGGCCTCTGTTTCTATATAGCATTATAAAAATTTCATGTTTACGTTATCTATGGAAATCATGCGGGGTTGTGGAGTAGGGGTAGTTGAAGGAAGAGGAGGCTGTCGTGCAAATTGTTATGCGGAACCGTGGCGATACCCAACCCTATGTATACGTGCATTACACACCCACACAAAGTTGGTTATATGTTTTTGTGTGTGTATATATATACAAATGCACGGTGAAATCCATAAAACTTAACATTTTACAGCGCGGAATTTAACGGCTTGCTTAAAAAGTGCGGGGGTGGCGTCGGCCGAGAGGAGTCGCGTCGTAGCGAGGGTTGGGGAGTGCGGGGTCGGTTTGTCGTAGAATTACAAGCCTCCGAGCTATTACCCCTAGCTCGTTTGCAGGTCAAGATCTTAAAAACGCTACTCGGAGGGATATAAAAATTAAGTGCTCGGCGATTCGTTCGTGAATTTACACCGACGGTGGAGATTTTAATTAAATTCCCTACGAGCGTTCCAGGTGAGTGTATATTTAGTGGGCAGAGAAGGAGGGAGGATTTTGAGGCTGTCGAGGTGCGGGTGGGTAGCTTCCTCCTCCTCTTCCGGCGGATTCTTATCTGTACCGATTTATCTGGCTGCGCAAACCTTGTACTTTTACGGTGCCGTAAAAAAGAGCCGTCCCAGGACCCCTGCGGATCCTCACACCAGCCATCACTGATAAACTACTGTTTTATTGTAATCCAGCCGATACTGCGAAATGCCGCCCCCTTTCTTAATTTCCACTGTAAAAAACCTTCATTTCTTTCTTTTTTCGTCTGGCAACGCTCCAATGCCAATACCTTTCATATGCTCTTCCAGTAATTCGTTCTTACTTTAATATGAAATTATAAGTACTTAACTAATACACTTTGAAAAATAAGAGGAAAAAAAGTGTTTTCTAACCTCTTTTATGTAACATTTACATAATTCGACATTCGAAGCACTGTTTTATAGGATTAATACCTGTATTTTATATGCATAAATGGTGTTCAAAAGCTTATATTTTCAAGTAAGTTTATTTTCGATAAAAAAAATATCAAAACATCAAATAGTAAAAAAATATATTGGTTCTTACTATATATGAAATATTTCTTATTACATCTATTTATATTTAAAATGTATTACTAAGAAATAGAAATCTTAAATGTAAAACGGTTTAGTTTTTATTAAGAAACTAATTTCTATGAAATAATAAATATTTTTTCGCTACACGAATTACTTTCTAATTCACTTGTCAAGTATCTCCAAGTGCTTGTGTTTTCTTTTTGAATTTTGTAACAAATATAATCTAATTTTGTAAATAGAACACAAGTACTTGTCAAAATACAAGTAACTGGCAAAAATTGTGGATTGTATCAAAGCTACTATAATATTTTTTTTTATTACCAAATTACCCCTCTTAAAAAAGGTAAAAGCGTGATAATTTAATGATTATGCTTTTAATATTCAGAATATTTTATATTCATATTTCAAACTTTAGAAGAGTACTTAAAAATAATTAAATAAATTTGTCAAACAACAAAAAGTAAGGTCATATTTAAGTAATAGATAATATATTATATATAATACAATGGTTGTTTCACTTAGACAATGTAATCATGAACCATTAGAGCAACATGGATTAATCGAATACGTATGCTCCTGCACTTGTGAGCATAATTTCAAATCATGTAAGGATAATGAACTTGATGCAATCAGATATCAATCAAATACATCTTTAGACTTAATCGACAAATTACTGCAAGAAGGCTAAAGACAAACCGAATACATTGATTAAATCAAACAAAATTTAAGACAAGTTGAACATCATTTCTCCCCCCAGTTATAAAACAAATAAATTAATCATTTTGTTCAACTTAGATAACTTAACTTTTACTGTTTTCTTAATTAGAAAGAAATGTCTCAGTTGTATTAATATAAGTAAATATGTCATAATAATGAAATTTAAATACAGACTTAAAGATATTTATAACTGACAAAGTTTAAACAAAGATTTAATAATCCAATTTGTGTTAAATATTATGAGGAAGTCACCTCCATGTGGCTAATAAATATGTTTAGTAAGTAATCCTTACTACTTAAACCATATATAATAAAGGCATTTGGATTGTGTCTTTGCGATGGAGAGAAAATTATCCTCTGATAATTTAAGCAACATTTTGCTGTAAAATAATTCGGTGTTCTTGTTTTTTACGAGGTCGACCGGCAATTCGAAGTGGTTCGTTAATATTGCAGGACGGGGGTGCTAACGTTATGTATGTGTAATTTTGCAGCGCTGCAATTAAGAGGCCGGCAACGTCTTAAGGGGTTGTTATTACCCTAATGGCATTGTAAAGTGTATCTCGCGAGCGTTCTTCTCCCGATCTGCAGAAGGAAGATCAGTAACAATGTAATGCATTTAGGAATGAGGAGGATATGTAGGAAAAGGCTGATGCAGCCATGTGTAGGTGAAACAATTTAAACTTTTCCAACTGGTACATTTAACGCCCCTCCGGAGCATTCTTTTCGATCATTAAGTCGGCCGTAACGTCTTTACGGGACAGCACAAATGTAACGCACGAATTTATTTCATAATTCCCTATTTGTATGTTTCTACATTATTTTTCTTCTCTCTTTCTCATCCTTTTCTACATTCCTTTTCGACCGTTACTGTCGTCGCCGCTGCCGCACCGAAATAATGACATTAGTTCAAAATTGGAGTTTATTGAATTTCCAGTCTGCACGAGGAGCAAAAGAAACTTTCCGAAGATTTTTTTTACTCACTCGTTATGGGCGTGTGCTGCTGGCCCTAACATATTGAAAGACTTACATCCTGCGAGGGTCTTTTTATCTTCGTTTTAGGTTGCCTGGCAATGCTAGAGATTTATCACTAGTAAATATATTATCTTCTTCATCCCTCATCAGACCCAAACGTTTTTTTTTATATCTATATATATAAGAGCAGATTAGTTGATGAGTTAAAACGATCGATATTATACAAAAAAAAAACGTAAAGATTAGAAACATGCTGAACTCTGCACTTTTTACGTGTATCCAGCACTTAAATATAATAATATACTAAATTTCACGCGACATACGTAATGAAAATTACATTCAATTCAAAATATTATTGAAATAAAACAATAAATAAACGTAATTTTTAAATAATTAGTAAATATGTATATTATAATTCATATTTTTCTTATTTTTTTTTATTCTAAGTAAATAGAACATTTACTATAAATTAAGTGAATAAAAATTCAAATATTTTGTAAAAATTAGTAAATAAATTATAAACATATTTGTTTACTCAATTTTGACATTGAAATGAATATTTTGTATATTTTTTATTATTACATGTATTTGGTACAATATTTCATCTCTTATTTTGTGTATGGAAAAGGAAATAAATATCTGAAAGTTTCGTTTTATTTAAATATATGTGACATAATGAAATATGCGCATTGATCGTTGGGAAAGATGCCCTTACGACGTGTGCCCCGATATGAAATAATTCTCCGGGATTCCGGCTTTTGTGGTGCCGATATATTCGATACGTGAACGCAACATCAATGAAAATGCCTGCGACGGTGACAGGAATGCATCCTGGATTTTTCCCCATAGTGGAGAAAGCCTGTGACCAACCTTCTGAACGAGCATGAAAGCAGAACACAGTCCAATGTTAACGTCTATAGAGAGCATCTCGAGTCTTTTCAATTCGTTCCCGTTTGATGCACTCGTTGTGCTTTTGAGGAATCCGGAGATGTATAGCTGTTAAGATGTCCAATTGAGGTGGTACAACGTGAACAACAAAAAAAATAT